TATGTGTTTCTTTTTTATTTCTATCATACAGTCACAACAGATTCGCTTTCTAACCTTTCGGCACCTTTAGATACCCATTGACTCACTGAACAAAAATATTATTAAACACTCTGCTGGGTCTATAGATTCCTTATAGTGCATGGGTGTTGTATGGGCGTGCTAAGTAGCATAGCCTTGGACAGTACACAAGTCTCTTATTTCCTTGATGTGGAGTACCTGAGAAGGCTGAGCACATCTTAGTCAGATGCACCGCCTTTGATGGACTGAAGGCTAGAACGTTCAGAAAAACTGGACTCGTTGCCCTCAAGGAGAAATAGTTTTAACTGAAACTGGCAGACAGGCAGTTTTAACTGAAACTCCTTGCTGAACACATCTCCCTTAAGAAGACCCACAAAGTCAGGCCAAAATGTTTGCTTGAAATAAAATAGTTTTTCCATTAGTTATATTAATTACATATATACTATATTTAACAACAAGGATAGCAAGGAAGGTGTTATAAATTTAAAAAATATGATTGCCCTCTTGGTTATACATTACTAGGCCCACAAAAGGCCGACATTCAAATTAATCATGGCTGATCATTAATTATCATTGGCTCAAAGCCAACACCACTGAATGTATTTTCAATAAAATAAAATTCTTCTTTTATATATATATATATATATATATATATAATAAACATTTCTTTTAAACACATTACTGTAATATATTATTTTAATTAAATATTAATTGTTTCAATGTAAGAAACCAAATTTTTGCTTAATTTATTTTTTTTAATTTACATGAATGAAAACATTTACAGCACTCTTGATTTTAAAATTATATAATCTCATCAATCCAGTTTTTTTCAAAACCTATATAATACTACAATCAATAAAAATTTATACTAAAAATTCATCATTACACACAATTATTGTAAAACTGTTTAAATGCAAGCATTATTTCAGTATAAGAAAAAATTAATATAATTGGTCTTTTATTTATAATTGGTTAAAAAAGATGATTTCCATTTTTTATTGTAGCATACATGTCACCAGCCAGAAATGAGATAACTAAGAACAAGCTGATGGAAGTGTACCCCATGTTAGGGTTTCAGCTGTTAGAAATATCGAATATAGATGGAGGATGGTAGTCAATGACCTTCCGGGATAACCTTGACGCCCCTCGATGCATGAAATGCCAGGACTACGGAAATACTAAGATGCCATGCCCATCAGATGCTCTTGTTTGCATTTGGTGAGCAGCTGCTGGCCATATCCTTAAGGAGTTCCCCAAGAAAAAGGACTTAGTTGTATCTACCTGCATAAACTGTGTGCGGGCAAATGCCGACCCTAGACAGACAAAACACAAGGCGGGTAGCAAAGATTGCCCTGTGCATCTAAAATGGTCCAAAGAAATGGCGAAAAGGACATCCTATGATTAGACTCTCCATCCTCCAGCTCAACATGGGCCGTCGGCATTTAGTAGCTGAAGAACTTCGCCAACTCTCTCAATACAGGAACCGAGTTGCCGCGGGAACATGGTGGCATGATTTGGTCTCACGTCGAGGATAATAGCTCTGAGCAGTGGAGAGAGGAGACCCAGGGCTGTTACTGTGGTTAACAACCCAAACCTCGACGTGATGGATCTGAGGCAGTATACCATGACGGATTGTGTTGCGTGTTACATCAAATGGGGTAATATTGCATTTACTCTAGTTTTGGCTTACCTATCTGATGGGCGCGACATGTAATGTTGTATGTAGGGACGAGAGTGTAATGTTGTATAAAAGGAGGAGCGATATGTCATGGTGCTGCTATTTGACAATTCCTCCGATTTTGACAGCATCTGGTGGCTGCTTGTGCTCCAGCAGCTGCAGAGTTACAATACTCCCAGAAACTTGTATTGCTTTGTAAGGAGCTACTGAACAGGACAGGAGGGTGAAGGTTCAAGGAAGTTCCTATGAGGTAGGAGCCTCCGTAGAGAGGGGCTGTCCACAGGGATCAGTCCTTGGTCCAGCACTATGGAAAATGGTTTTTGACGAGTTGCTGGGTGTCTCAGAAGAAGAGTGGTTCCCAGCTACTGCTTACGTGGACGATTTGGCCACAGTTGTCGCTTCCAACAGCAGAGCCGGTCTAAAGTTCGAGGTGGAATGGTGGACCACCCATGTGATGAGATAGTGTGGGAGAAACAAGCTGAAGATGGCCGCTGCTAAAACGCAGGCCATATTCCTGAGAGAGAAAACTGATAGGGCCCATCCTATCACTCTATTGATCGCAGGAGAGAGAATTCGTCTAAGTGAGGCGATAACTTACTTTGGAGTGAGATTCAGAAGAAATTTCAGCATAATGCCTCACTTGGATTACTTGGCTGGCAGAGTCAACCTCTCACTAAATGGGCTCAGTCGAATTGGGGACGCTCTATGGAGCATTAGATACCCAGCAACAATGACAATATATAAAGGAGTTGTGCAAGGTATTGTGAGTATCATAACCCCTCCAGAAAACAGAAGAACCGGTTGGCGACATACAGAGAACGGCTCTGCTACAGGTAACTAAGGCCTACAGGACTGTTTCACACAAGGCAGTGCAGGTCCTGGACAGGAAGGGTTCCTCTCTACATTATCCTGCTCAAAGATGCTACAGTGTTCGGCTGTAAAAGAAAAGGCACGGCTGGGGTTCCGGAGATCCTGCGAGTGAGGATTGCAGATGAGCCCAATAGATGGAAACAAATAATCCGGGGGCACACCATCAAGGAATAGAATCTATGATGGTCGACAACCCTGAAATGAACGGCGCTAAGGAAGTTCTTTCCGACAGTGCACTCAAGATTAACTGCGAAATGGGTCCTCCCGGATTACTGGGTTTCGGAATTCACACGGGACATGGAGGCTTTGGGGCCAAACTTTTCAGTTTTGGCAAGAACTTCAACCCCCTGTGTCCTAATTGCCGTATTCCAGAAACTGCCAAACACGTAGTAACGATCTGCGCTGTATTCGAAGGACTTAGGGGCGATTTAAGAAGGAAAGCGGGATTGTACATCATGGTAGAAGATGATTTCCCATCCCTCAGGAAACAAGAGAAATACCTGTATTTCGAAGAATTCGTATGCGGGTGGAAGACAACTGTGGGACCGGAACACTTTCACCTTTGTGCCCAAGGCGAAAAGAGGAGGCGGAAGAAGGCAGTCCAGAATGAAGATATGGACTTCAGTTGAAGCACTACCGTCTAACTGGCTGAGGTAGCTTGATAAATTATTTATTACTCTACCTCACCAAATCCCGTATTGCCATAAGGTAAGGTAGGGTGAAAATCGATAAATAAAGGTTAAAGCAAACTAAAAATATTAAGTATACTTACAAGGAGAAGATACAGTCTGTAGGTCACCGTGATACTACATCAAAAAATATTGGACACATTCCGGTGTTCTTTCCAATGGGCTCTAGAAATCGAGAGAAAAAATATTTTACATAATTTCAAATAAAATTTATGTTATTTATTTTTTCCTTTGCTTTGTCTGGATTTTTACTTTACTATATATCAATTGGTTTGTTTTCTTGTGCAGAATAAGAAAAAAATATTAACTATTGCATTAAATGAATTATAATGTATCATAAATTACAAAAACCAAAAGGTGCTTCTAATAAAGTAAGCAAAATAAATAAAAGAATGCAATAACACTTGATTTTCTGGGATGATTTTTTTTTTCGTCCATCAATTAAAGCATTTATAAACTCCTCAGGATTTTCTTTGAATTCAACTTTAATACAACCATAGAGAAGCTGTATTTATCTTCTTCCAACTGATAAAGATAAGTTTTGGCATAAAGATAATTTCATTTTTTTCCAGATAGAAATTAAAAAAAACTTCTAACCCAATTTTATTTTATATATTTAGTTTCAATTTGTTTAATAAAGCCGATTTTTTACCATTGCATGTAGCGTACAGAGCCCTAAATTCCTATTAATTTTTGTATAGATTAGTGAAGCCATTCTAAAGTTGTCACAAGCTTTGTGGTTGTTGAAAAAAAAAAAAAAAAAAATTGTAAATAAATTAATAAAAAACAATTTTTAGTAAATACTATATTTGGCAAATAGCTACAGTATGGACACAATTTGACCAATGTAGCAATGTAGAAGTAAATATTTTTCAGGGATAAACAAAGTTGATATTCGTTTTTTGTACCTCTAAAACAATTAAATATAAATTTATTTATGGTAATCGAAAATTAAAATTTTTTAAATGAAAATTTTGCCTAGGATGGACTCTTTAAAGCTTTGTCAACAAACACGAAACTTGTGATAACTTTGAATTGGCTTCACCGATCCACATAAAAATGAATACGGATCTAGGTCTCTGAATGCTATACGAAATGGTAAAAAACAAACTTCTGTAAATAAAGTAAAACTAAAGATATAAAATAAAAATGGGGTAGAAGTTTTTTAATTTCTATCATGAAAAAAAAATTGAAATCCAAAAGTTATCAAAGTCAGTTGGAAGAGCATTAATTCAGCTTCCCAATGGTTATATTAAAATAGAATTTCAATAAAATCCTGAGGAGTTATAAATGCTTTAGTTGATGGCTGGAAATAAATTCATCCAAGTAGTAAAGATTGTATTTTTTTATTTATATAACAGTTCGCTGAAAGCACTTTTGGTTTTTGTAATTTATGATACATTATAACTAATTTAATACAATAGTTAATATTTTTTTCTTATTCTGGAAAGAAAACAAAAAAAACAAAAAACAATAATATATATTAATCTAAAATACCAGGCAAAGCAAACGCAAAAATAAATAACATGAGCTTTACTTGAAATTATATAAAAAATAATTTTCTATGCTCTTGGAGCCCATTGTAAAAAACACCGAAATATGTTCTCAATATTTTTTTGATGTAGTATCACCAAAAAAACCTTTGGTTGAAATCGGTAATTCACAGCCTGCATCCTCTCCTTGTTAGTACTATTTTCATGAATAGTTTCTTTTTTTTCAAAGGCTAATCCTCTTATTTTTATATAGGTTTAATGAATTATAAAAAAGAAATTTTTATCAAAGCTGAATTTATTTATAAAAAAAACTAATGGTACATCTAATAAATAGGTAAACAATGTAACTTTATTTTAAATCACTACAAGTATATATTACAAAAAAGTAATAACTATAAGTAGACACAGAAATATTTCAATAGGTGACCACAACACAAGATAACTTAATAAATAAAGTTATAAAAGTTTCACCTTTCAGCTATCTCAGTTATATACTTATTAACAATTGCATCACTACTATACTATCATACAATAAATAAATTTCATCACATTGAATAAAGAGGAATGGCATCACATAAAATTGTATTGTACATGTATTATTAGAAATCATCACGTACGAAATATAACAATAAATTTGTAAAAATTGTTCAGTATATCCTACTTGCACCCATTAGTGGATAAATTTCTTCAACCGAAAAAAAGTTTTAAATTATACCTAGGTCTGTTATCAAAATTAAAATCTGAGAAACTTAACCATTTTTTAACTATTTTTTTTTTCTTCAGTTTGGGTACATATTACATATAAGTATATATTAGATATATTAGATATATTGATATCTACTTATTATGCTGTATTGCAAAAAATTATTGACCTCAACTATTATTGAATATTACACTGCCATCCCTCATCATATGATTATAAAAATTCACTTAAGCCATTGAATGTAGGAACTGCTTGCCCATAGACTACTCTTGCAAACTCAGAGCTAAATAATTTTTAATACAAAAATTTTTATTCAATAAAAAGTAATATTTTTTTTCTATTTTTAAATATAGCCTGTTCTATTATAATTTATGTTTCCTCTTATAATATTACCATGAAATTCAAAAATAACATCACAGAACATTCAATGTATTATCTACCTCAAACATAACAATCATTTCATAAAAATCAGAAGAAACAATTATATAATAATTGTTTTGTTTTTTTAATCTGAATTATATACATCTTTGGGAACAAAAATAAAGTTTAGATATCACAGTCATCTTATTTTCTTTGAAAGAAAAGCCTTAGCTTTTGCCTTTCTTAGTATGAGATATACAATGAAAATGAAGAATATCGTCCAGCAAATGCATGTTAGAAATCCAAGCCAGACTGGTGGATAGGAAAGACCCCAGCCCCTTTGCGTCAATCCCCGTAATGATTCTACTGGGAGCGTGATAGGCATTACAATTGATATGGGCTTCAGAATAGGATGTATACCCTGGCTAGGCCAAATCATTCCTGAAACATGAATGAGAATAGATTAATGAGCCTATATGGATGTCTTAAAATATGATCTATTAGCATCATTCTAACTCTTTCTTCTAGGTTTTATATAAACTTCTTAGTTTATCTATTTAGTTTTTTATATGATTTCTTCAGTAAAGTATATTTGTATATGGTAAAGTTTTTTTTTTTCCAATTTGATACTGATGTTTTGCTGAAACTTATTACATTTAACATTTAAAACATTTTTAATCTTTCATGAACTATTCCTGTAAGGCATGAGAAATATAATATAATATTAGAAATATAATTCTAATAAATTGCCATTATAACAGATTATCACATAAGGAAAATAATATATATATATATTTTTCAAATATATTCGAAACGTCGAATAAACACAGAAGCAATGAACATTTAGTAGTTTATTGAATAATTAATAAGTGACCTTATTCCCAATTAAATAATTATGTTAAAATTTAACACTCAAAGGTTGATTAAAGAATATATATATATATATAGAGAGAGAGATAGAGAGAGAGAGTGAGAGACAGAGAGAGTGAGAGAGAGAGAGTGAGTGAGATTAAGAGAGATCTAACTATATACTGAGTCAACAGTTAATACTATCATCACTTTTGAACTATATATATTTAAGGACTGTTTTGTCCCTTTTTTAGAGGGATAAAATCTCCCCTTGAAATGTATATATTACATACCTGCTCGATTCAAAACAAATATGATATTAATGAAATGCTATTAGTGAAAAGTTCACAAATAAATGTTATTTATATTTAAATAATTGTTTTTTATTATAATAAATTTATGGAACATTCCTGATTATATCAATCTCAATCTTAATCTCAAGTCAACAAATATTCAGTTTGAATATGTTTATATTAATATAAAATCAATCATACATATAACTGATTCCAATAATATAAACATATCTTGTTGAAACATGTATTTGTTTTATAAAAACAATCATTTAATGAAATATGTAAATTCTTACAGTATTATAAAAAACATTTTATTACCTCCAAGAACAATAGAACTTATAACTGAGAATGTGCAGCAGGCACTTGCTATAGGAAGATTATCACATGCAATCGCTATCACAAATGCTAAAAAATTAAAAATATAATATAATAGTTGGTTTTTTTTTTAGTTTTTATTTCAAAACTTTCATTTGAATTGTATTATATTGCTCACCTAAACTTACTCCTGTCACTCCTTGAAGGAACAAAAGAATAGTTGAAAGAAAGGGACGCATAAACTGAAACTCATAAATATAAAACATCATAAACATTGTACTGCATGTCTGTATCGCCTGGAGAGACACTTGTATGACTGAGTGGGCCAAAAGAACTTCTAATAGGTTTACTCCTGTATAAATAAATAAGAAGATGTAATATAAACTTTTCAACTGAAAATATATTATTTTACAGGTAGCAATTGTGTTTTACCTGCGGCTATACTTCTTCCAGTGGTACCAGAATTCTTTTCTTCAATAATAATTACTACTCCATATACTAAAGGCATGCTGAAGAGTATACTGAAAAATTAAAAAGATCGTGTAATGTCGTTATAGATGATACTTGTTTATGAATTGGAAAACAAAATATTTTTAAACATACACGACAACTATTGCTGGAGCTGCATAATCTCTGAATGTTGGAGTTAGTATGCCGTAAATTGGCTTTTTAAACTAAAAAATAATAATGAATCAGTTTTATCAGTAGCATTAATGTTGTCTTACATAATTAAAATCATTATTCCTATTAATGTTAATATTGTTTCACTAATGAATAGTTGCTGATCTGTATTGATAAAAATATTACTAATAACAGGATTTGCTTTATTGGGTTTCAAAATATATAGTATAATAATTGAATATTCAATGATATTGGTAATTTAAAAAAATGGGTGCCATTAAGGTAGGCTTGGTATATGTTTAAATTAGTTTATACAAAATATATTGTAACATCCCTCTTATATTTTACAAATAATAATAATATAACCTCAGAAGCTCACTTCTTACCATTGGGATACTTCCTAAATAAATAAGAGGTTGTTAAATAATAAACAAAATTTTAGAGTATTAATATATTTATTTATCTCAGGTATGGGTTACTGAAGTTCACTTGGGTTGAGAGGAAGTTCACTTATAACCTAATATCACTACAAAACAATCTATGTTTTATCTGAATAAGTTTAAAGTTGATAATTTAATATATTTTTCAACTTTTATTCATTAATAATTATTAATATTAGTATATTTGTTGGATAGAACAAGATTAATTGACCTGAAGCAGTTTTCTTGATTGATATGTTTAAAATGAACAATGAAACATCATTAAATTATAGTTTTGTAACATGACATATTCTTCAACTTCATTTTTCATTGCATACTACTTACTTCAGACAGCTAATTAATAAAAAAAAAACTTACATTTATTGGAATGTCGGAAGCTCTCTCTTGCCAACCACATCTTGAAAATAGAGATTCGATAAAAGCTCTAAAACTTGATCTAATATTGAGGTTGATCAATTCATCAATGACCCTATCTATGGCAGTAGAAATGTTAATTACAAAGAATTCTAATAACCTTGGTGAGTTTATTTTTTATAAAGTTCATTTTTTCACATAATGTAAAAACCAAATTGTTTAAAATTACAACGATTAAATACTTACTCGATCGATCTAAGTAAATGTCAACCAAACTGTTATCGACAGCTTCAGAACCAGCATCTTTTCCAAATTCAATTCTCAATCCCAAGTTTCTTGTGAAGTTTTGTGGAAAATAAGCTAATCCCCAAATGTCATTCTTCTTAATCGCTTCCAAACCTTCATCTAAGTAATCATATACTTTCTATAAAAAAAAAAAGTTTTCATTCGGGCAAATTGTATATAAACAACAGATATAAAAAACATTGCCTCATTCATTCCAGTAATTTTTTGGCCTTTTTATTTAGTTAATTTATCCTCATTTTATTTAACTATATATATTTTATTGTTTTAATGACAACTATAGGTTTATGTTTTCTTATAGTTGACTGGGTGTAGAGGCTACTGATTCTTAATATTTCTAAGAGATGGCACTATAAAAAAGGATCGCTTCACACTCTATCTATCCTTTTATGTTATTTTATTTAAAATAACCATCAAATCTGCATTAATTTCTGGATAACCTAATATATTTCGAGGAAAGCATAATCAAAAACTAAGGCATAATTTTACTAGGGCATGAAAATGTGTTCTTTATATAAGCTTGTTAAATATCTTTAAATTCTCTATAAAACAAAAAAAAAAAATCTCCATCCGCTCAGCATTAAAAAAGGTATACATACTTTTATCAAGAATAATAAATTACACATCAGATAAATGTTTTTATTTAATAATGATTTGGATCTCAGTGAAGATTTTCATTTTACTCTTAATCTTACCCAAAATGAAGAGTTTATTTTTAAAAAATAATAATATTTTTTTTTTAAATCTAGAAGCCAGTCTTCTTTATTTTATGTTGTTGTTATATTTATTTGAGAGAGTGAAATGAAAAGCAATCCAGTTCAATTAGTAATTGAAATATATAATTCAAAAAGCCTTTGAATTTCCATACATTTAATGCAATTTATCTACAGTGATAAAAGTGGAGAATATATTTGGTCAGACTGCATGTAATCCTATTTCTTGTTAGAGGGAGTGAATAAGAGGTTACGTCTTGGTTACTTTTATCAGAAGTTGCCAACTTAAAGAAATAATTAAATATAATATAAAAATAATTAATTTCAACATTTTAGGATGGAGGGCCTTACTGCAAGAATCAGGTCAGGTCCTAATTTTCCAATTTTTTTTTAATACATTTTTTTCAATGTGTAATAATCCTGTTTCAATTGGTAAAAGAACCAGGCACAAGATAAAGTCCTCTGATGTAAAGATAATATCATCTTTGTGACAATATAATGTCATATAAATAACATAAATAAAAGATAAAATCATTAACAATAAAAATTCTATTTCCATGGCCTTATTTTTGACACCAATTTCAATGCACACTACCTTTGGAGCAAAAACAAAGTGGACTTGTTCATTTATCCAGAACCAAATGGTCAAATTACTATGTTTCTTACTTGAATATTAGATGGCTCTCACCAACAATTGATTATGATTATGGTCTTACCTGGATCTTTCAATTGCCTTCAAGTAATTAAGTTTAATTATTTTTCTGCATTTTAAAGGCTAATGAAACTATACTAGTCATGATTAATGTAAAAACTAACAAGCAGAAGCTAACTGCTGAAGTTAGCTGATGTGTAAATTAGATGTTATAAGAAATTAAACTTAGAATTTCAGTAAATTCATTCTCGTTAATGGTTTGAAGCAAACTTTATTGATTACCAAGTTGAGATTAGTTTTTTCCATTTCATATAGGTACTGACAGCTAAGATAATCCATGTTACAAGACTGATTAATTTCCTTAAGGTGCCTCTCACAGCCAGTTAAAGTGTCAAATGGTATATCATCAATAACAGCACCAAATCTCAAGTTATTAGGTTCATATCCAATTCCAATGTTGAATAGCAGGCAACTCACTATCGGTAGACCGAAAAGATATAATAGTAGTCTAAAAAAATTAAATATCAATTATGAGTAATACATAGAAAACAAATTAATTAAAAAAAAAAAATCATATGCACATTTAATATACTCACGGAATATTTCTTGAAAGGAAAAAATAGTTCTTCATCAATTCAGCCTTAAATCTTGGAAAAGAAAATAATTTATCATTCTTGCTTAAAGGAGATAAGACCTTATTGAATTTTGTAATTTTGATTTGATTTTCTTCCTAGAAGGTAACAGATGAATTTATAATAAATTTAGCACTCTGCAGCAGAGAAATATAATCCAATAAATAAGTTTCAGAGCTATTTATTTCTAAATCTAAATAAATAAACGTAATGTTCATAACTTACTAAATATTGTAACTATTTTAGAACATTACCTGGTTTGTTGAACCTGTTAAAGCCTGCTGTTTGCTTAGCACTAAAAATGCTTCTTCTAGTGAATTACAACCGAGCCGAGTCATGACACTTTTCGGAGATTCTTCACACAGGAGGACACCTTCTCGCATTAAACCAACCTATGTAAAAAAATACAAATGTTCATACATTTTTAGTTTTTTTTAGGTATTTAATTACCCTAACTGAGGATTCTAATACTATACTTAATACTTACAATATGAGCTTGTTTGGTTTCTTCTATATAATGAGTGGTTATAATAATAGTCATTTTATTTTCATTGCAAAGTTTCAAAAGATGATCCCAAATGCTGAAACAATCAATAATTTCAGCATAAATTTAGTCTTCTTCACCAGATACTACAGTAAAGTTTAGCCATTATCTAATTATTCAAGCTAATGTAATTGAATTTGTAATAAATTTTAAGATTTTTTATTATTGAATACTTAATAGTTTACATTATTGCAAAAAAAAAAGAAAAAGAAAATCATCAAATGACTCTCTTACCTTTGCCTCAAAACTGGATCAACTCCAACTGTGGGCTCATCTAAAATCATCAACTTGGGATTGTGCATGAAAGATACAGCTAAAGAAACCCTTCTCAATTCTCCACCGCTGAAAAAAATTCATCAAACCTAATATTTCAGTCGAGAAAATTATATTTCATTTAATATACCAACAGGACAATATAACATAACAAATAAAATATTTAGAATTACCTAAATGTTTTCAATAACCTTTTCCTTTTAGGAAGCTGAAGGAGACTTGTTAAAAAAGCTATTCTTTCTTCAATTAATTCTTTTTTCATTTCAAACAACGTCCCGAAATAGTAAAAGACCTCCTCCGTCTTCATTGTATCATGGAGAGACAATTCCTGCAGCAATTAACTTACATATTTTATATTTGGCTACTACAGTAGTACTTTTCAAGGGCACTCATGTTCTTATATATGGTGTCTTCAAGGAATATACAAGCCTTTATACTTTCAAAATATTTATTCTATTTCCAACGAAGTTTCGAGCCTATTAGCTCATTATCAAGTCATCTACAAATACAATTAAACAAAGATAAATTACAACTATGATCGCTCATTATCTAGTCATATAAAAAGTGAGAACTTACCAAATAGTTGTTCAATGAAGTTACAATATTGATATACATTTTAGTAGATAAAAAAAATGTTTTTTGGTAAGTTCTCACTTTTTATATGACTAGATAATGAGCGATCACAGCTGGAAATTATCTTTGTTTAATTGTATTTGTAGATGACTTGATAATGAACTGATCAGCTCGAAACTTTGATGGAAGTAGAATAAATACTTTGAAAGGATAAGATCTTGTATATTTCTTGAAGACACCATATATTATTACAAATTTTAAATTCATAGTTATATCCCATATATCTCACTTTTTGTTACTTCTATATAAAAAAATGAGTAAAAGTAAAAGCTTTTAAAAATGTGTGTACCTGTGGCATGAAGCCAATGTCTTTTTTTCCAAGAGATGGAATTCGGATTTCACCAGCATCAAGCTGCATTAGGCCAACAATTGAATTGAGTAAAGTAGATTTACCACATCCACTTGAGCCCAATAAGCCATATCTGTCAATTAAATAACACAGATAATTTAATTAATTTAAACGTTAAATATGTTTAGTTGTTTATTTGTATAACTGTATTATAATATATATATATATATATATATATATATATATATATATATACATATTATTCATTGATATTTACAACTGTATTATAAAAAAAATATACAACTAGTAAATGTGCACACAGTAATAATACAATCACATGAAAACGCTTGATGATAAACTACCCATTGGTAGCACTCTAATAATATATATATATATATATATATATATATATATATATATATATAAAGTAGATCACGAGGCCATCTTTTTTTCAGACGCCTCGGAGGGATAATGTATATCAATTATATTATTTGTAAGATTGTATATAATGTTGTTTCTAAATATGACTTTTTGTTTTTGCAATAATTTGATTCTTGCATAGAAATGTGATATGTAATTATTGAGGCATTACATCGACAATATGAAAAAAAAAATTATATAGAAAAAAAATACTAACATAACATTTTGAACACTCTACCTTTTTTTTTTTTTTTTTTTTGCAATTATTCAGTTCTTTCGTAGAAATGTGAAAAATAAATATTGACGAATCACATAGAAAACACGTTAAAAAAATCAGATTAAATGTTTACAAATACTAAAATGAAAAAATAGTACACTCCAATTTTTAAACCGTTATAGTTATTGACGATAGAAGTAAAATAATTTTAATATATATTTTTTTAAAGCCTTTTGTTAAATAAATTAACAATATTATCATTGTCATATTTATTTTATTTTATAATAAACAATGACCCATCAATTGCATCCCAAATGCTTCAATAATACATCATAAATCTTGTAGAATGGTGTCAAAACTGGAGAATTAAAATAAATCTCACCAAGTTACCTATACCCTTCGTTGTAAACCTATGACTTCCTGTCCTACAGTTTCTTTTAACAATACTCCACTTATCCCTGTTGAGCAAATCCGCTACCTAGGACTCCATCTGGACAAATGTCTAACTTGGAATCCTCATACCAGACTGAAACGACAAGAAACCGCTCGACGTTTCCTATTACTTCAGCACTTACTAGACAAACGCTCTAAACTTCCAATTAATTACAAAAGACTCATATACATGACTATGATAAGGCCTATTTGGACTTACGGAGATGAGCTATGGGGCTCCACTAATCCATCGAATTCTTCTTGTATCCAATCCAAAATCCTTAATGTTCCCTATTTTGTTACAAATAAAACCATCCATAATGACCTTAATGTTTCTTATGTTTCAGATCTGGCCCAATCCAGATACCAATCCTTCCATAATAAACTTTAAAATCATCCCAAGCCTGTTGTTTCTAACCCTGCTTCCTCTTCAATTCTTGATAACCCTCTGAGGCGTCTGAAAAGAAGATGGCCTCGTGATCTCCTAATGTAGACATATCATTAGAGTGCTACCATTGGGTAATTTCTCAACAAGTGCTTTCAGGTCATTATATTCATATGTTCAAATTTACTAAATGTATTGTTTTTTATACAGTTGTAAATATCATTAAGAAATAAAAAAGTAAAATAAAAATTATTTTATAAATGGTTGTGTAGAATCCATTGCCTCTACTAAAACAATTAATAGTGTTTCATAAGATGTGGTGAGTTCTCAGTCGTCATAGGAATAAAGAAGTACATAAAGAAATAACCTAAACTTATTAACTAGATAATATAATATTCTCCTACATTTCTCCATCAAATTTGTTTCAATCAATACAGAAGACCTTAAATTGATTGGAAAAGAAGCAGAACTATATAAAAAAACAATATCAATATCTAAAAAAACACCATCATTCCCCAGACCAACCAAAAGTAACAAGTGTCGAAGAAAGGAAGTGGCCACATTTGCCAGAAGTTCAAAACTGTCATGCTGCCAACACTCAGCATTAGTGACCGCCATCTTGAACGCTCTATACTTTGTAGAGGATTAAAAAAAAAACACTTTCTAGGTCATTGTAACATAAGGTGACCAGATTTTAACATTGATAAAGCGGGACACCATTGACGGGAGAGGGTGGCGTTCTGAATATAAAATTTGGTTCATTAAGTTCGAAGAAAAGTTTAAATTTATTGTTACAATAATTAATTTTACATAATGATAATCTGGGGTGGGGTGACCGAGAGGCCTAACGCGCGTGCAAAACATTCTTTGCCCGGAACCAGATGATTGATAAACTGAAGTTTACAAGATATGAAATAATTACGAGTTCGCGTCCTGGTTCCGGCGGGCTTTTAACTCTTGGACATTAATCCCAGGCATTAAGCCCTCTCCTCTGGACCGGGCAAATCCCCGTATAGCCTTATAATGTTAATGTTAGGTGCAAATGTTAATCATGTGACATAATATTAAGCCAAAAAGTTGAGGATAGTACTCAGCTAAGGTTGAGAATTTTCTAGAGCGAATAATTCGATGATGTATTTGATGTCTAATTTATGACTTTAATAATAACGCAGTTTTTAAGACAAATGTTTTGTGCCAGAAGTTTGTGCACAATTAAGAAGCTCTTTTTCAAAGTGCTAAAAACTTATTGAAGGTGACAACATTTCGGTAACCGAAGTAGTAAATGAAGTTGATTTGCTGATACCCAAGATTTAACCTTTTTTTAATCAATATAGTTGTTGAATAACGATATCTGCTTAAAAAGATTATTTTTGGGTTGTTTATTACCATTAAGGCCATACAATGGTGTTAGAATTCTAACAACTGATCAACAATACGAACTTTGCTAACAGTTCTTGCTAATCAGTTCTTAACAATTATTTGTTATTATTAAAGTTTAACATTGTAAAATTAAAAACAATAATATAAAACTCATATTCTGGCGAAATAACTACATGGCCGTCGAAAACCGTATATTCTTTTTGCGTTCCATAGCTTGTTCATTCCGAAAATCGGGACTTCTTGAAACGTCGCGGAACGCTAGAAAATTATTAAAAATCGGGAATATCCCGTTAGATCACCTTATTGTAACAGGAGTATTTTAGCTGCCATCCACAACCTACACCCAAGGCATTCTATAATTAGAAAAAAAATAAGCATATGGTGAGAGATAAAAAATTAACATAATAGTAGTCTTTGTTTGGGTACCAGCTCACTGCGGAATTTTGGAACGTAAAAAGATGACCATGCAGTCCATTCGACAACAAGCGATAGTAACTAGATTGGAAGATGTTACTATAGAAGACTAGGTAAACCAAACAAAATAAAAAAGCACTTGTGGTATATATTATACGTTACTTGAAGAGTTTTCCTTATACGTTCCTCACGTTCAACTTTTATGACGAAATAACTTTGAAAGAAATGCAAGTAATTATGGTTATTATAATTAAACACTGCGTATAACTTAAAAAGCAGCTTAACAAACAGAGCTATTATTCATAATTAGACATTGAATACCTAAGGTAAAATAAATGTATTCGTGCAGAAAATATAGTAGGCGTGCTAAACGATTAGATTGTTAATGAAGTAAACATTTTCCTAGAAGATTTTATCTATTATTCTTTTCTTATTTATAATTGTTTTTGTTTTTGTCTTTTTATCATGTGTTCCGTCGTTCGAAATTGGAAGTGCAGAACGTTTATCTGTTTCTTATTCCACTTTTTAAATTCTCTTTTTATACTCATCATTTGCGGAAGGAGATAACAGATAGATATTAGGCAATCAAAATTAATAGGTATACAATACAATAGATAGTAAAATATTTATTGCCGGGAATAGTCTTATTTCATTAACTAATTTCCCACTGTCAACTTTGAAAGGGCTATTGAATTTCCTTGGTTCTATGGAAGAATAAAAAAATTAAAGTGGAGGGTATTTGGCATTTAAAATAAAATAATAATAATAAACCTGTTTATTTCCTTATTCAGATAATGTAATTATTGGTTAATTAACTCTAAACACTAAAAAAAAAGTAATAACACTAAAATGAATAATAAGTAATGTTTTATGTTCAACACATCCGAAGAGTAATGACAAACATGAGACGTTGCTACATTTTTTGGCGGGAGAAAGAGGGGAGGAGAGAGGGGCGAGGATAAATATAAAATTTTCCCAGAAATTCGAAAACTGCAATAAAATTACTCACAACAGTAATAAAAAAAAAAGATGCATTCATACACGACGGAAATATTTTAATTCCCATAACTTTCCGAACTTTTCACTAACATGCAACAAATGTTGACAATTGACAACAAAAACTTTCAATTCTATTCAAACAAAATATTGTATCGACAAATTACATTAAAATTCTTAATTTAAAAGATATTGGTATTGATTTTAAATTTTCCAATTTTTTGAGTTTTCATTGTCATTGAAAGGTGGAAGGAAGCAAAGAGATCCCTTCCCCGTTAACGATATCACGGCTTATCGCCACAGAATCATTTAAATAGGTAAATTATGACTTGGGAAAAATCTGGAAGGCACTGAACAAACCCAAATATTTATTTACTTTAATTTTGTTTAACATTTAATAAATTATTTCGGAGTTATTTGATCAAAATGAGGAAGAATAAAGTAGATATCACCAAAAGGCAATTCCTTAATGCCAACTCAATTTAAATACACATTTTAAACCCTCTTATTCAATTTTGATGGATTGGAGAGTTGCGCAAAACTTTAAAATTCATAAAGATTTTTAGAATTATGATTTTCAATTCATCTGTTCCAAAAGAGGGCGGTAGAAGAGCCAAAATGTAGTTAGAAATGTAAGTATGTAAATATAGAAGGTAAACATCATAAAAACGTTAATTTTGAAAATGGCCTAAATAAGAACGAAACATTCATTAAAAATTAAAAATTTGATGCAACTTAATAAAGATTTTTGTTGTCAATAAAACGTTTTATTTCTTGTATCTTTTTTAGGGAGAAAAAAGGATCCTAATTATAAATTATTAAGTAATTATTTTTTTAAAAATTTATTTCATGTTCTCTGAAGCATGAATAAGAAATACAATAAATTTATGTGTATATATATGTATATATATATATATATATATATATATATATATATATATATATATATATATATATATATATATATATATATATATATATATACACTAATTCGTTGCATGTAAGTGAAAGTTCGGAAAGTTATGGGAATTAAAATATTTCCGTCGTGTATGAATGCATCTTTATTTTTTTTTTTATTACTGTTGCGAGTAATACTATTTGTATAATTTAGTATTTATTTGACCGCACCCTCCGATCAACTCCTTCTCATATGGTCAACCATCTCTATATCATTGTGAACTTCTGTGATTGTGTCCTGTCATTGTGAAGAATCACTAATATCCACAAGGAATAGGATAATATTTGGAGGTAACAGTTTTATGTCCAACCCGATTTTCGAATTGATGGGTAAAGTACAGATAATTAATATCACACTCAAATTTAAATATTTTTCATACAGATTAATTCATCTGCTCCTATACGTTGGCACAAATTATACAAACATTCATAAATAGTGTTAACACCGAAATCGCTCAGTATCTACGAACGTGGAGGTATATTTACGGTAACAGCTACGCAGGTACCGTAATATGCGACTAAAAACATTGTTTTGTTGTCAAAGACTATTCTGTCATGAACATTCTCTAAATATTATGTTTCGTACCTGCGTAGCTGTTGCCGTATATATACCTCCACGTTCGTAGATAGTGAGCGATTTCGGTGTTAACACTATTTATGAATGTTTGTATAATTTGCGCCAACGTATAGGAGCAGATGAATTAATGTGTATGAAAAATATTTAAATTTGAGTGTGACGTTAATTATCTGTACTTTACCCATCAATTCGAAAATTGGGTTGGACATAAAACTGTTACCTCCAAATATCATCCTATTCCTTGCGGATATTAGTGATTCTTCACAATGACAGGACACAATCACAGGACTTCACAATGATGTAGAGATGGTTGACCATATGAGAAGGAGTTGATGGGGGGTGCGGTCAAATAAATACTAGATTATACAAATAGTATTATTTAATTTTTGCCACGTTTCGACCCACTTTGCAGGTCTTCATCAGGGCGTAGGATGTAGTACTCAGGAGGCAGTTGAAACACTGTCACTCTCACAGGACTTCAGGAATCTTTTAAAGGATTTGATATATCGCACCAGGTTAAGATTATAATATTGATACCGATTCTAGAAAAATACCGTTATTAATAGTTAACGAGTACATATTTTGTATTTGATGGTACTTACATAGCACCTTTAGGCACAGACATGTTGATACCGTTAAGAACGAATCGTACTCCATCGTATGTCTTGTAGACGTTCTTCACCTCCAGCCAGAGATCCTTCGCCTCCGCCTCCTCTCTCATGTTTTAATCTAAAACAAAAAATGATATTATTAATTATTTTTTATCATAATGTTTTACTAATGTACACAGTTACTTAGAACATGGTTTTAGTTTATTATGTTATAAATCTTTAATTGATTTGATCATTAATCCTTACAATCAGAATATGAATTGGCCAAAATTTGAAGGTTTCAACAATAAAATATTTTTTTTTTACTGAGACTACCGAGGCCTAAATCATTAATTAAACTTGTAATTAAGTCCCTTTTTCGTTTCTCTCATTAAATGAGAATATATATAAAACATTCAGTTGGACAAGAATGCATATTTTATTTTATCTATATTTATCTTTTCCAAAATTTTACGAAGGATAGTTGACACACCATTTTATGTCGCAAACGATAGATTACATAAAGACTTGAACATCCCTACAATTTTAGACACTGCAAAAGGAAACTACAATAACTTTCACCAAAGACTAACTTACAACATAAATCCTCTGACAGAAAATCTTAAACGCACTAGAAACGCGTACAGCCCACCTCGACGATTACGTAGGCGGTGGTCAAGAGACCTGCTGAACTGACCTATTTCCTGGATTTGTGATGGGACGCTGTGAAACTGCCAAAAAATTTGCTCATTGCACAGAAATTTGCAGATCTCAGATTTAATTTTATGTCCAATTTTATGTTAATGTATTGATAATAATAAGAATCTATGTTTATGTGCAAAATTTATTTATATATATTTATATATATATATATATATATATATATATATATATATATATATATATATGTATATATATATAGTTCTCTCACATTTTTAGCCTAATTTAGGCCATTTTCGAAGATATCATTTTATACTGTTTACAATTTCGTTTTTAGTGTTACATTTAAAAATACGTTAATTTTTCATTTATACAAAAATCTTTTGGGAGAAAAATGAAAATCACAAATTTAATATGATTTATTATTGTCTTATTTCGCTGTTACTACACAAACTAAATTATCTCGTAAATTAATTTAATAAATAGTGTTAACAAAAGAAGGATATTAAAACTTAAATAAGGAAGCGTTGACATCAATGTCGCCCCACGGTTTGGTAGTCTAAAAGAGATTGATTCGATCGATTTTAAGGCCTTGTTTCGAAACCTCGAACCCCCTCCGAAAGGTGTGCGAAACATTTCAGCAGCCTTGGCACATCGCACACAAGTGAATGAAAAACGATCTCTCACGTTGTAAGGTATATGCCGGCGATTCCCAAGGGGAGAGTCTAGCAGTACTTGTAAGAAAGTTGCCTAATAAATGCGGATTTTGAAAGAGGAGTTCATTGAACGAGAGGAGCCGAATATATCCGAACATTATCAGATGTTGAAAAATAATTTCTTAACTCCTTAAATAATTTATAATTAATTCGCACTGACCTCTAATTAGATAATATCAATTCACTAATAACTAATTATATGTCTAAACCATAATTAATTTATTTATTGTATATTCCTAAATTTTTCTGTACATCTAGTTTCCGTACTGAAAATAATGTTCAGCACTAAGACCACGGAATAACATTTACAAGTTAATCACCAGGCTATTGTTTACCTATTAAGACAAATAAATTTGCCATGAAACACAATGAATTCTTTACAATGAATAGTTTTAAAGCTCGCAATCGATTATGTTCCCTAACGTAGATGAACACTACTGTCACGTGAGGGTGAGCCTCGTGGGATGTCCGAGACTGAGTGTAGATCGGTATTACTTAATAGCTGTTATTACATCCGGCTCTGGAGGAGTTATGGAAGTGTTTAAGATTCCTAATCTATTTACATTCTTACATCACAGTGATTAGAAAGGAAGTTGGGCTACATCTCACGACTTGTGGTTTGAGGTCAAAGTCTCGTTGAAAATGAGCTAATAACGATCCTGAATCATTAATTATACAGGCATTTGTCGATTATATAATTATATTCAATACTAGGATACTCCGGTGAGAACTCTCTCATCAGATAGCTATCTTTCTCCCTAGAGCATTTTTTTCCACCAGATTATTATTGGATTTAAATGGGTCTAATTTTTTTCAAACGGGTACCTTAATTTCTTTAAACACATAAAAACTAATGTACCAGTTTATAAAAAAAATATAAAAAATGAGAAACGCTGAGGCATTATCAGGTACCGAGTGTTATTCACTTACACGTAAATAGAACGGTTTGCTTATGAATTGTTCGGGCACAAATCACAATGGCTTTAACATTAAAAGACTTGCAGGAAAAATTACTATGAATAAAAACAGGCACACAGCTATCATTGTTTCAGTCAGAAGTGAAATTGAAAAAATAAGAGAAGATTGTTTGGGATGATCTTCTCTTCAATTATTCACTACAGTTAACCATCAATCCACTATTATAAAATTGAAAGAAGTTATACTGGCGTATTCTTAATGTATGATTATATGGTTCTTTCAATTTACAGTTATTTCAACATTTTTTAGTAAACTTCATTTTAGCGATATTAGTAGATGGAAAATTTATAATATCCGTACAGTGAGTAAATCGATTCCAGAGCTGGTGATTGCTGTTTTGAATTATAGAACTGTGAATAAAGGTATAGATTTTCCCACGAGAAATATTACTAAAATTAATAATAAGAAATGTTGAAATTGGAGTAAGCCATTCTGTCAACCTAAAGGCTCATATTTTAAACCTAAAAGAATCCCAATTTCTATTCCTCAATTCTTACAACAAATTTGATAAAGGTGATTTAGGAGTTTCAGTTTTCGGGATAACGCACGTTGCAAGAATCTACTCTGATTGTAGTGTCGACATCTGATACTTATGACTTGTCGTAGTTGAGGTTTTTATATTTCTACGGACGATGAAGGAAGATATTATCTAATATTTCTCATATCTAACCCTCAAAAAAATCTGAAATATGAATACCACACAGAGAAAATGGCATAAGACAAACCATGCTAAATTTTATTAACACAGTAGGGTAAGCGCTCCAGTGACGGACATAGCTAAGGAAATTTTTATATTTTTTGACTTATACCGCCATAATTGTTATAGTTATTAACTTCTTCGTTGGATATTTAGCAATCTATAGGAACTCATTTTTTTATTTAACACTTTAAAATTGAAAAAAAAAATGAAAATTTAGTTATGCAGGTATAATCTCCATAAAAAAACAACACATTTTTGCACTAGAATTGTTCTAGACAAGGGGTCGGTACCATTAATGGGTATACCTCAGAAAAATTCTAAAATCTTTATTTAACTATAAATATAAAATAACATAATTTTTCAACTAAGTATTAGCAAAACTGTTAGTAGGTATGGAACACACAGATCTCAAGAGCACTATAGAAACAACAATGATAGGCATTTTAAAATTTTCTTTTGGGTACTTTGTTCATACAGTTGTCAATAATGTGCGTGGTTCTGCAATTTAGAAAAAAATGGAATCTTTAAATCAACGAGGGAGCTTGTTATTTACATTTAAAGTCCAATCTGTCCATCACTGGGCCTTCTGCCCATAACTGGTGCGTTCACCTTAGTGTTCAACTCGTCCTTTCGGAACAAGACCAAGAATAATTCACCAATTGCATGTAAATTATGAACATGTTTCCATATAATTATTTATACTTCGAATTTATTTGTTTGAAGGATGGGTATTTAAAAAGATTTGATAGTTATTTTAGTAATAGATTAAACTGACCTACTTTAACTCTGATAATCGCAGCAAATAAATATTGGTCTACATCACGAGCGGATCTACGGGGGGGGGGTGGCTTTTGGGCTGAAGCCCCCCCCCCCCCAAAATGGTAAAATATAACCATGTTTTATCGAAAAAAATATTAAGAAATTGTCTTTTAAAGTATAATTGTTCGTGTAATTACATTTAAAAGGGCTTTAGGAATCACTTAAACACCAGTTCATAAGGTAGCTAGTTTCTTTCTTATTTTCCAAAGTAATTATCGTTATTTTTATGAAAAAAAAAACCTTTCAGGCTGAAGCCACCCCCCCCCCCCCAAAAAATTTAATCCTGGATCCGCTAGTTATCTACATCGATATAAAAAATCTTGAATGTTTGACATTAATGGAAAACATAAATTGAACGCCTTGGGAGAGGTGGATGGAGACGAGACAGAAGTAAGCAATGGATATACTCAGCCTTTTAATGGTGATTCCAGAACTTTTCGCTAAAACACATGATACATTCCAGCCACAACTCCTCGTAGCATTATCCTACAAGTCTTTCATTCATGGACGTCCTGGAACATATAGGGTAACTGAATAACCGCGACTAAGGACTGTAATTATTTTTAAATATGAGACGCTAAAAATATAGAGAATACTACATATTTTGTTTGAGAATTGAAATGAACACAAGAATCTTCAAGGGATGTTGCACAGATTTATTTTATATTACTTATTCAATTCTACATTGTTTTATCAAACCTATTAAATTAAATCGAACCAGTTTTTCAGGAAAAGTTGGTTTTCAAGGTTTTCAGAGAAAACCTACCTTGGAAAAAATAAATGAATGTGTATTAGATGATTGTCTAATTTACAATTAAATCATTACACATTGTCTATTGTTTGAAAACAGTGATCATGGAGTACTACAGCCAGGGGAGAGATGATTTTTTTTTGTTACTGATTATCGATTACTGATTAAAAAAAAAATCATTATTTTTTGTAGCATTGATAGCAGAACATAAAGAGTACTCCCTATAACTATTTTCTCCTTAAAAAAAAATACAAAGTAATAGATTCGAAAACAGCCTGGAGCGAGAATTCGAAATTGTTTCATGAAATCAGTCATATACAGGTTAGAGAAATAATCATTTTCAAGCAGGAGTTATGTTTATAATTATGGTACAGCCTTTTCATATAATGATTTTTTTTTTTAGAAGTTCATTTATAGTTCATTCTAAAGACAATCTGATATCGAAAAACAAGTTATATTCATTTAACTCGGTCAGATAAGTAAATCGAAGTAACCAACGACTTGTGTAGGTTTTA